TTCAAACTCCTAACCTTGTTGTTGCTTGTGCTAATTACTTCTATGCTTATTTATACTTATAAAAATGTTCATTTATATGACTTATTTCTTAAGCGGCATCATGGAAGATTAGATAAGGAGCTGACAGTTTTGGCTATAATAGTTAATCTAAATGGAATATGCTGAAAATGTCAGTCAAATTATTTCACTCTGAGCCGAGAAATTCTCATTTCAGTTCCACGGTAGCGTCGATTGTTATTGTTACCGTTGTTAAGATAATAAACAAAGTTTCGATTATCCATTTTTACGGTTAATCATATTACGGCTGTTCAACAGTTGATCGGATTCAAATCTGTTTAAAATCTGAGGCATCCGATGGCATCACGAGTCGATTATGGTCTTATCGTGTTAATAAATGTCAAATTAATAGTTTATAATAACATTTAAGGCCCAAAGAAAGACAAGCAATAGGTAGATTTAACTCTTGCATAATGCAATGTTTAACTATTGTAGTTGGAAATTGTATTTTGTTCTATTTTCATCATTACATGTAATTTACTATCGTATTTTTTATAATTCAATTAAAGACGCCTTCCCGTCTACAAACTGTGCGACTTGATATATTTGGACTAAATCATATTATAAACTAATTGATATATCAAACGTTTGCTTCAAATCTGTCTTAATACCTTTTAATCGGAAGAAAAGTACCCCATGCCGCAAGTATCTATTTAAGCATCCCTGTTTGTGACGTGATTTAGTTGAGGGAGAATCCCTTTTACAGCTTGTCTTTGTCGTTAGTCGCTGTCCGTTTACAAACATATCGAAGGCTAAGCAAATTCTTTGATTATACTCTGACAATTCCATTTTACGCCGTTTAATAACAGAGTTTACTGAGGGTTTAAGTTTCTCAATGTTCTCCCAACTGCGTTCGCCATTAGAACAACACATAAGAAGAGCTCCTTATGTCACTCAGCAGACAGACTGCCAGTTAGTGACACCAGTGTATTTTTGTCCTCTAGGCGCTACAAAGGTGTTTTGCAGGGAATCCGATGTATTTCTAGTAGGATCGTGTGTTTCTATACTTTCCATATATTATACTTTTATTGGAAATAGCTACACTATAAATACTTTCTTGGGAATGCATCTTTAAAAATGCAATATGTAAGATTTAGATAGAGAGCTGGTCGTTCTTGCTAACATAGCTCAAAAATAGATAATGATCAATTTCATTCAGTTTACTTTTTTCTGAGCGGAGAGTTCGAGAGAGAGTGAAATGGGGTTTAACGTCCACTCGAATCAAACTAGGTCATTTTGAGACTAACACATGGTTCAATTTTATTTCAATAATTTGCTTGCGCGTAGGGGTCTTTAGCTGTGAGAGGAAACCGGGGGACCCGGAGAAAACCCACCAGGTTGGACAGGCGACCCTACTCCTTGTCACGTACAACCTGGGAATCGAAACCCCACCAGTTGACTCAATGACAAACCTTGTGATACAGCGCGCGCGTGCTAACCATTCGGCCATCCAACCCCCCGGAATGTTCGAAGTTTTACTAGATATTCTCGATTGGCAAGTGCTGTAATACTTTTAGTAGAATTTTTGCTCGAGAAATAACATATTCGCATAATATGTGATATGTACTTAAAATACTTAAATCAACTTAGGATTTGAATGACATATTGTGATATAAAAGCACTTGTAGAGCCATAACATAACTGGTTCTATGTCAACAACATGTTAACAGATATCTCATGAGAATATTCTTCAGTAAAATTCCATTCCACCATATAAGGGTGGGTTGTCGACGTCATTGGGCTCAATTAACCAATCTCTATAATTATTTACATCATATTTGACCAATTGGATAATTGAATGTCCAAAACCAGTAGATACAAAATTAGGATACTGGTGAGAATTCGCCAGACTTCTATTAGGTTCCAGAGGGCTTACATCTGAGATCCTAGACAGCCGCGAGGCTGGCTAGGGTAAAAAAATGGTTTTAGCTTGTATTGTTATCGATTATGCTTGTATACCTGTATTCAGCTATATATATATATATATATAAAATATATAGAAGCAAACTGTCGCATTGTTATTCCTGGTAAGACAGACGTCTTAAGAAACTGTAAGAAGTAAATACACAACGTGAAGCAGAAGTAAAGACAGCTAGAGACAAATTCTAGACGATCACAAGGCTACAGAAATATGTAGTAAGAAAAGATGCATGGGTCGTATGTAGGATGTGGCGACCGGTTTCCCATAGACGCTCTCCACGTCAGACAGAAAGACCTATGGTGCTACAGTGCCATGCTACGATAATCCATTCTAAATGGCGCGGATATTCCAACCCCTTCAATATCAAGACCACCCGATGGTCTATAAAGTTAATTATGGGCTTCTATAATTGTCTAATTTATCAATTATATAACATTCGAGGTCAAAAAAGAAGACATTTAATAGGCAGATTTAGCTGTTACACAATAATGCATCTCAAAGAAAGCAAAACCAAAATATCAACGGTAGATAATCTTCCGACTTGGATTTAATGTGATTAAAAACCGGCCCGTCAACTTTACCCATCGTTTATATCGTCTGCGGAGGATTGCAGACCGAATGTTGCGAAATTTGCAATCCATCGATTCTTTATAAATATTGAATGGAATTTTTGGAACGATATTCACTTAATATTCAACTTTCACAATGTTGTAGTTTGAAAAGCATTCAAAATCCCCCAAATGGCGATCAGGGTTTTTAAACTTGTTTATCATTCTGGTCGAACAAAACAGCGTTTCACTGATTTACTGATCCACCCTGTATCCGCTTCGCTCAAATCTCATTGGAAAATAAACATGAACAAGGTAAATTCGGCTTTCGACGATGTTTGCCTATGAGTAGCAAACTTCGAACTTCAGGGTTTTTTTTGGCAATAATACGGGAATTATTGAAACCATATTATCTGAAAGGATACTAGTTTATCTATACTGAAGGTTTCTATGTGAGATAAACACCTGACATTCGAATGTATATCTCCAGAAATATGCGTTTTAGATTAGTACATAATGTTGAAAATGGTGTTCTTGGGAGTAAAGGGTAAGATGGGTTCGATGTCAGCAATATATAAATATTACCTGTACGCGCCACGTGTACATAACGTGTATTGTTGGTGATCTATATACATCTACACCACTGAAATAAAAGTACAACCCGAAAAGGCCGATAACCGTAATATGTATAACAATCAACAGCTAAAATTAGACATGTTTTTTTTTTGGTTTTCTTTTGGGTTTTTTAGAATAAATAAGTTCAAAATTGGATGCTTTTCTACAAATATGATGCTAAGGGCCCATCCCGGTATTTAGTTCTATGGTTTAACTCACCTCTAGTGTAGTAAGAGAGAGAGAGAGAGATAGAAATGGGGTTTAACGTCCACTCGACACAAACCAGGTCATTTTGGGACTAACATATGGTTCAATTTTATTTCCATAATTCGCTTGCGCGTAGGGGTCTTTAGCAGTGGGAGGAAACCGGAGGACCCGAAGAAAACCCACCAGGTTGGACAGGCAACCCTACTCCTTGTCACGTACAACCTGGGAATCGAAACCCCACCAGTTGACTCAATGACAAACCTTATGATACAGCACGCACGTGCTAACCATTCAGCCATCCACCCCCCCCCCCCCTAGTGTAGTAAACAACACATACACATGCACATATATACCATGTACAGATAGCATGTTAATAAATAATAACAACCAATAACCGAGTTCAGCTCTGAACGTAGGTCTCATTACACTCGCCTGGTACGTTTAAGAACCGTGCTATTGAATTCTTGTCGAAAAAAATTCACTTCCCAGTAAATTTTACTGGGCAACTTTTTACTGCTAAACGAGTGCGTGTCAGTCCCTGTGAACGCCTGAACAATGTAAATGAACATCTTAGTGAGAAAATAAGACCTTGCTTACCTCGCTAGAACCAGTATGAGCGACAAAACACACTGTTAAAAATACGTCCCCGTCTGCTAAACGTCTTGACCGACGCCATTGAAATCTAAATATAGGGTAACGCACAAATTTACACAAAATTTAGGTAAGTTGGGCGGGGGGGGGGGGGATTGCAATCTTTGAAAAGTTGAGAACCTTCAGTCATTTATTGCTTTGCCTAGCCCAATTACAATAATTTACAATCAAATTTTTTCAAAAATCCCAATTTTTTCTCCCCGGCTTACCTAAATCTTGTATTCATCTTGTGTTCGTTTCGCCCCTGGAAATTGCTGGCCTGAAATGATTAGCGCGTCACTTTTTCCCCTTCACATCATCTTACGTGAAATTGAACGGAACCAACCACTGGGACTACCAATGGTGGCTTCACATAGCCGGATAGCCCCTGGAAAAATCACGTTGAAATTCATAGTTACCTTTCCCGTTTAGATTTTCATTGGCTCACGTACCAGATTCGATGCTGGGGATTGTTTCTCCCATGCCAGAGTTGCTGGAATAAGGCCCCGTGTAGTACATATTGACATGCACCCAAAAGACCGAATTCGTGTTAAAGAGCAAGGAAAAATATACAGAACAAGTTTTTCTAAGAAATAAAATAAGAAAATTTCTTTAAAATTTGCTCAATTGGGCACTGGAAGAAAATCGGTCATTTCCCTGTTTACATTTTAAAACTGGACAGGATTCGTTGATATTGGTTTTATTGCTGACACAAACACTATAGGCCTAGTGGTTCTATAAATATGCTTGACATAGCTAACGGACATAGATTGTTCTCATTTGTAAGACGAAGAAACATGTAAAATTTTATTTATTTCTGATAATGGTTGGGCGAATTATGGCCCTGTTTGGCATACGATAACCTTGAGGAGGTTGGCGTAAATTGTCCTCTAAAGCCACGCGGAGCGATCCTCGCCTAAAATACCACAAGACGAGGGTTCGTATCTAATATCTATACTGTTCTGGGGTCAGAATCATCAATAATACTCTCCAATCTTCAATATTAGAATCCAACAAAAAGATAACAATTATTTTTATTTCTTTTATTTTTTCAAAATGAAAAACAAATAATAATTTATTTATATGTGGAAAAGAGGAAACAATATGTGAACAAAATCTGAGTAACATCAGAAATATTAATCAAATTATTATACTTTTATTACCTCTTACACTCAAGCACAACCCATAAAAGTGAGCAAAATTTATTATACCCAACACACCTGTATATATTTATCTTAACTTATTTTAATCATTTCAATGTTACTGAATGACATTATTTAACAAATAACAGTTGTATTAAAAAATAAAACACCCATATCTATAGGGAATTTATGGCTTATTTTTGTTTAATGAGGTTTTCCATACATTGCCTACATCAGTTAAGTCGTCTAGTGAATCTTCAGATAAATAAAACAGAGATAACCATGCAAGATACGTCAACATTTTGTAAATGATGGGTGGAGAACGGGGAAATTCAATAAAGATCATTGTCACAATGCTTCACATTGAATTTGAAAAAAAGAAATCGGTTAAAAACTCAAGCCGTAATAATCGTGTTCAAGAGGTTTTCGGAAAAGGGGCATAACTCTTGAATGGAAGATCAGATGCACGCCAAAGACCGGGAACACCAAAATCGAACTCATCCAAGATCCCGGGAGCGTTCACAAACTTTGTACATATTTCACATTTTGCGTACAAAACAGCGGCCGTAACTCCGGAACGGAAGGTCTGACGAACACTAAAATCGAACTCATCCAAAACCTTTTGAAATTTGACAATAACACGTATTTTATTTTAAGTTTAATCGGACACAACGTTTGTATATATAAGCTTATTACATGATTTGCGTAAAGAGGGTGGTGCAAGTTTCGTTCGCGATGGTTGTGTAATGTCCACAAATAAATGTGAATCGTCAATGTAAACGTACATACGGACGTCCACATGGACAGGCAGAGACGGCATAATAGTATTACGTTCATATGAAAATCTGTGCGTAGAAAAAGCTAAATCTTTATACTGTATTATCACATTGGAACGAATACAAGATTCTATGACATAATCAATGACAAGTAATTATCCGAAATTGTAATTGCTTTTGATTGCAATAATACATTTCAAGAAGATTATACCATGATTTTGGTCGTTAAAATCATTCATTTAAAGAATCCCCCAAACTCCAGCGTTAAGATCCGAACAATCTACATGTATATGAATTTCATGCAGGACGGATGATAGCTTTTAATTCCGGAGAATTCATATTGTACAAAGTCATCAAAGGCGATAACTCTAGAATCAATAGAATTTTCCATTTCACTAATATATAAACTGCATATAAAGCTCATGCTGACTGGATAGTAACCTTTGTCGCTATGTACAGCGTCACTAGATTTACACGATCAACATTTCCTTAGACTGTGTTTTCCAATTTTAACAAGTCATGCCGGGAATGCAAATCATGTACATTTCTGTACACAGTAGACATACCGATAGACAAACGGGGCTAGTCAGTATACGACCAAACAGCAATGTGCGCATATACAAATCCATGCACGTTAACTTTGTCATTAATGCCAAAGGATGACTTTCACCTCTAAAGTTAAAGTCTCTGTGCGTCATTTGTGGGTTGTTTTTTTTTACGGAAAACATCAAATGTATTCAAATTGATCCCCGGCTTTATTTCAATCAGATTAATAGGTGACGCTGTGTTGTTTTAACTATATATCCCGTTTATATCAATCTGATTAAAATACAGATCTATATTTCGTTTCGTTTATTATACTTTCGATAGCCTACACTACATGAAGATCTTATCAGCTGTAATGGGGGCGGGGGAGTAGTGTCAGGGGTCATACGAGCGACTTTTGACCCCATGACGTCAGATATTAATTAATCAATCAGCATTGACGTTTCTAGGTTCCTTGCATAGCACGCAAGAACTCACCGCAAAGGACCGTTTAATTGGCTAATTCCTCACCTCAACTAGAGTGCCTGTATAACAACTCTGCCAGGTCCTGCCAGGCGAAATTTTGAACTATAAAAAACGAAACGAAATAGGATCTGTGTTTTAATCAGATTGCGTTTATATAATATTCTGATGACGAATGTTGACAAATGTTTAATTCATCATTATCTGATTCTTTGTAAGTACTGAACGGAAATAGAACCATTTATTGGTTGCTTTAACTATATCCCATTTATTCTGATGCCAAATGTTGACATTTTAGTTTAATTCGTCATATATTTGTAAATATTGAATGGGATAGAATCATTTATTGGACTTTCATAATATTGTAGTTTGCAGTCTCCAAATTCGTCAAATGACGTCCTGGGACATATACTATCTCTAAAACAAAATTTGGTATTCAATCTTTAAGTTTAATACAACACAAATTTTGTAAAGCGATCGACAAGAACAATGTACACTGTATCACAATAGTCTTCGCCCATACTTATTATATGATTCAAGAGACGCTTAAAAGGTAAAGAAAACAAATTCTAATACATACGGAAAATATTCCTTTAAAATATACCATTTCTACATCATAATTATAATAATATAAATATCAGTATGTTTATTAAGGATTTTATATATCACAGACTATAATTATCAACATTAATTAACGATATATGCTCCTTCTTTTCTCTACACACCGAGTTGTAATGGCTTAATATATCCTACAACATACACAAAAACAACATTTATACAGATCTGACTATCCATACATCTGATTCAAAGGCGATGAGATATACATGTGACGTAAAAGCACATTTTATAGGTATATATTGTCCACACACGTGTATAATACATATTATAAATATATAACGGATGATTTTATCATGTTCAGTATAAAGTATGTAACAATAAATAATGACCCAACGCATTAACAAGATCTACTGAAGATCTATGTTTTAGTTAATTAAACAAAATTAATATTATATAATAACACAATGGCATATGATTAAAACAGGATGTCATTGGCTATCATCTTAAAGTACAGCTATGTATCATATTAAGTTCAAACTCTGATTTACGTCTACATAAAGTGCTGAATTCGCTGTGCTATTTTGATAAGTTATTAAACAAGCTGTATACGGTTACATTTTAGTTACAATATTATTATAGTAATCGACATTTGGGGGGTCTAGAGCACAAGTGATCTAACTACCAACCATTTTAGTTGGTTGTTAGATTACTTGTGCTCTAGACCCTCCAATTATAAGCTTGTTTCTAACTTTAGTTTTGCTTTAAGCTTAATTGCGTACGTAACTAACGTAAGAAAATTAATTGGTGGCTAGCTTCTCCGCAGGTAGCGTGTCTCAGATGTTCAGAATGGCTTAATTGTTGGCAGTGCAACACAGAATGAGCTCGTATCATTGGTTCTAAATGTAGATAGATACCCACTTCACTAAGCAAATCAACACATCAAACATAATTACATCGACATTTTTATGATGTATATCAAAGAGGTCCAGTCATTTTGATACACGATTTTTTTTTATTACAATTATTTTTTATGACGACAAAATCTGGCGACTGAGAAATGTTTTATTTTTGTTTCGTCAACATAAATTTTGTTGTATTGATTTGTCCTGCATTTCGTCTTTCTCTTGTGTCAATACCATGGCAAACTATCTCGACACAACAATATTGTAGGTATGACACGACAAAATAAGGTTGATATTATCATAACATAAATATTTTGCTTTGTCAAAGTCCTAGTTTTGTCATGCTGTGGCAATAATTATATTGTGGTATTATATATATCAATTATCCAAAGATAGAGGTAGTCTCGACAATAATAGGCCTACTAAATTCATTCAACTTTTTGTGGTGAACAGTGGCACACACCCTTGTATAATAGACAATATTAAGATACTCGATAATTGAAGACTTTAATTATATAATAATACGTTATAAAATGCACGAATGCAAATATGGGATAGTTTTTTTGTGAAATGAAAAAAAAGAGAGTTCGTTACAAGAACGAAAGATATAATTGTCTAGCTGTACAAAGTCTATTGAGTATAGAGTATACCCACTTACAAGTTGGCCTCCGTAATATATATATATACAACATTTCTTATATCACATCGTTAATATGCACCATGATGAGACCTGTTATATATTTTTCTACAATTTGATTGTCTAAAGATATATAATCTATTTGTTATATACCACGAATAGAAAACAATAACATAATATACACATTTGATGGCATAAAATAATAATTCATTTTTTGTTTAATAAGTTATTATATAACAATATTTTCGCTTCTCTCTTAAAGCTTATATTCATAATATCAACATTGGGCTTGAACGTATTATGCAAGAGTCTGGGTCTAAGTGGATTTTTGATCTCTCTCTCTATATATATACACGTATATATAATAAGTGAGGGGTACCACACAACATGTAACATTTTACAAACAGACGAAAATAAGACGACGAAAACCTTGTATTATTTTAGGGCATATCATGCACCTACTATGTGTTTCCAACAAATCACAATGTTAATGCATTTTCATTTAAAAATGAAATAGTTTAGATTTATTCAAAAAAGAAAAGATATGAGACAACCCCTACGTGCAAAGTCTAAAACAAGGGAAATAATCGATGGGGTTAACAATGTAGGAATGAATGGGGTAAATACGACCTTGAGGCTATAAGTCCTTCAAAAACAAAACTACAGTAAAGGATAGTTTGCCACGCAACGCAACGCAACATACCACCACAGCAACGCAACGCAACATACCACCACAGCAACTCAGGTTTTAGGGCAGTCAACAAAGGTTGTTGGATATGTATTCTTTTTAAGACAATAGAAGCATGCAGGGTCAAGAATAAGGGTGATAGCTCAAACAGCAAGTCTGTATAAAAACAAAACACGAAACGAAATAATTTTTTGTTCGGGTTTGTCGGCATTAAAACCTTTACTCTTGGCGTAATTAAATGACCTCCCTCTATCAAACTTTTATTAAATGTATGTAATGGACAGATTGTATGTGGCAAATAACACATCGTGTGCAGGGCAAGATAACATAATATACTTCCATCAACTCTGTTGTTTAGTTGGGCACAAATGGACCGAACAAAAATCCACACATAAGGCTGACCTTAAAAATATCTTTGTTTCACCAAACCCGACCCACAATCGAGGAGAAGGGTCGGTAGGTCGGTTTTTTTTTCAGATTTTTTTTTAAAGTCAGAGAAATCAATACAGAAAACTTATTAGCTGTATACTACAGATTCATTAATTTTGTTTAATGAATTTGGGGTCTGACGTAAAAAGTAACGAACTGAAAGTTTTTATTAAACTTAAGAGCTAATTTGACAGCTTAATAATTTTCCGGGTGGAAACATTCGTCTTCTTTATTGGCAAACAAATCAATGACATCGTGATTTTTCGTGATGCCCGACTCGCACACGATTAGCCACGAACTTGAAGTGTGAAACTCCTTCAACACGTTTTTAACGATAGTGCGCGTTGTGCTTTCATTTTTCTCGAAAACGGATATTGAAAATATCGTCGTCATGTTTAAAACTACGCACCACAGACATAGAGGCAGAATTATTTCGTGGGAATGGACGTATATTCGTCTGCAACCATTTTGTTGAGAAGCGACACCTATGACGCTTTCGTCTTGATCAACCAGTTTCAATAATGAATCAAACCATAGCCATAGTATAGGGAAATAACTCTCATGATATATTTCAGGTTGACACACAAAATAAAATAAAAAGATCGTGGAAAAGTGCAATAAAATAATTTAAGTCGGGGGTGGTTTTAGTTAGTCGGTCGCGTTAGGCGAAACAAAGATATTTTTAAGGTCAGCCTAAGCCATACAAGTCTTGAGTGAACGTTGCCAATCATAATACTGCACATTCATTCAAATTCTGGCATAACTGACGGGCTGTTGAAAGTTACGAACAAGTAGTATAATATATCTATAAATTTATATACATCACATGCCTTAAAAAGTGACGATTGTATATTTCACTGGTCTGATAATATTCACCTGTCAAATTTCTTACTGTACCAAAGTGCTTCAATATTCAAAATGGTTGCATATAAGGAATCATAAAGCACTAACCATTGATAATAAGTATTACATATTATATAACTATGATTACGATATTTATTTCTGTAGTTGGAGGCAGGCCTATAAGCCGTATGATAAATCAGAGAGAAATTGGGATGATTTGGTACTGGGAAGCAAATCAGCACGCCTTCTAAAAATATATTTATACACACAGACACGTTTTTATGCGTGTGAAATCTCGATTATCATGTATGCCTCTAAGACAACGTCTATACTATGTGGTAAAAAAGGCAGGAAAATCAAGTCTGTTTATAAATCTATAAGCAGACGGTGGGTTATTGATCTACTATCTGACCTACGTTTCACCTTACCTACCAACACTTTTGAACATACATATTATATATTTGAGAGTACCTAGAACAAAAAAACCAAACGATTTTATAGCTTCTAACTACACACGTTATACTTCATGGTAATGTACACAGGTTAACTTTTTTTTTTTTAAAAATGAACTTTTTTTTATTATGTATTTAGGAAGTTTCAAGGCGCATTATTCAGCATTTGTTTTCTTTTTCCATTGTGTCTTTTCGCTTATCAATTATTCAAACCCTTATTATTAAAATGCCCTATAGAGTTGTAATATTCAAAAATCAAAACTTTCTTTTGTTTTTCGGTATTTTTCAGGGATTTAACTGTAAGTCTACACCGTGGATTATGCGTGATAGCGTATCTTGTATTACTGACACCATAAAGTCGAACCCTTTGTCACCCAAAAGTTTAAATACAATGACAATTTTATTATTCATACATGTATTAACAATGAGTACTTTGTCAAAACTATGTACATTTACTGTTTTTATTAATGTGAAGACTGTTGTTATTACACAATTATCCATATCTAAATATAAAAGATCTTCACGAAGAATGAGCTGGTGTGAACGAAAGTGATAGCACAACTGTTGTTGCTATACCTGTCTGAAACTTCGAACAGGCATATCTGAATACTTTTGGGACCAAAATGGGTTTTTTTTAAATACAAGTAGTTACTGTTGATTGTGTATGGTCTTAAACTCTATATTTCAACTTTGTTTTGTCATGTCAAAACTTTAATTGCGTTGCCTACTTACTATTTTAACCAGTACATTCAACAATGTATAAGACATATTGTGCCATTGTTGATTATGTTATTTTTAAGTATTTATCTATATACTACTATTGACTAGGTGTACACGCTTGGTTTATTTTCAGGTGCATCTACAAGTAGGAATCACATTTGATATATTCAAATTATCGGTCTACAGTAAACAAATACAATTAAAATGCTTAAGTGCTAAACAATAACAGAGATACGGTCCATGCACCAGGAATTATATAATAACATGGTAAAAACCCTATATCATAATACAGGTTTCACAAGTTGCCACAGAAGTGAACAGACCTACATGTATATTTATGGTAATACCTTTTATTTGTGAGTCTGTGACATGGACTCTCGGAATAATTTCTAGCTTAAATGGCGTATGGCTCTATTTGCGGAACATTGAAATTGACGAAAATGGATTTAGAAGCACACATTAATGTAACATGAATGTATCTAAACTGATTTATATTCAACTTCTGAAACAAAAATATTGTAATTTGGAATCAATTATGTCCGGTGAAAAACGTGAACAGTCCAAATTGAACGGCGTCATTTACGTCTGCTTAGTCCATTCTACGTTTTATTTTAATAATTACTTCCACATACATGTCTTGTAGGATGTTTTATCTGTTCATTACAAAAAAATGGAACCCGAAACGATAGAATACTCGACTCGTGTATTATGTCTTAAATATTGGATAATCGCGGTTAAAACGGTGTTGAGTGGGTATAGCAATGAACCGGAAGTGGTAATCCATCGCCACCTGGCCTATGTTACTCCCCGGTCCGAGCTACACCTCTACACCAAATTTCAGCCTCGGGACAGCCCTAGTGTAGCCGCTAACCTAACACTGAACAGACAGACAAACAAACTACAGTCACAAATATTAGTTTATATTATAGATTAGGATCCTATATTTTCACGGCAAGATAGCAACATCAATATGGATTGAAATTGACCAATTTTGAATTCTAATTCATGTTTTTAATTTCGAATATTATGGAAAACATTGAGTTAAGAGATTTAGATCCTTTAAACTTTACAACCAGAAGTGGACAGACATGTCTTTATGGTAATACTTTTATGTAATAGTCTGTGACACTGGCTCTCGGAAAGAGCTCCACTAGCATGGACCCCTACGGTGATAATTATCATGTGAAAGATCATTGACGATCCGTGGTCTGGGAATCTTCTACTAGGGATAGAGTATGATAACCATCAAGATGTAAAATCTCCACTTGCTCTGGCTTCAGAGTCTCGAATAAAGGCAGTGGATCAATAAAGAAATTTAAGGAATATAGTTTTGTTCAGCAATAATGTAGCACTAGCAGCAACCTGAGATCTCTTTGCCCATGTCAAAGTAAGGTTTCAGATTTTAGTGAATAACAAAGGGAGGTGTCCCTTCTTATTGTTGAGAATACTCACAAAACCTGACAAGTGATTTTAGCTACAGTAATAGATAATTATCTCTTTACTTCTGTTAGACCATAAACGTATAATAACGCTGACCTGATTGGTTCTGTAAACGTGATTTGCAAAGGTCGCACTTCATTTTGTTTTATAATACAAGTGTTCCGATGCGCCATTTCAATACCAGTGTCAGTATACTAATATCACCAAGCATTCAACAAATAAGCAAGAATATACAGGATAGCAATTAGAATGCAAAGTTTCAAGGGATTGTTATAATAATAAGAAATATGTATCGCTTAATGTGACCAGCAACTTTCTAAAACTTCGTAACAAATTAATATCTCTAATAAAGGTACTTAAAATTAAGGTCCTACAAAAGCACCAATTAAAATGCGTCACCCAAAAAGCACTACGAAGCAATTAAAATACCTAACTTCATAAAAAATGCATCCAGTAAGAATCATTTTCTGTTGGTATAGTTTTAGCAAAGCACTCAAAAACATAGTTAGCACTAAAATTGTTATCCCAATAAACAGTTTCTCCGACAGTGTATGACACAGCAAATTCTAACCTGGATCCCACACCTAACTCCATTGGGGCCACAATACTGAAAGAAAAACGATCCGTCGGTCCGTCGCAGGAATTCATAACATATGACGCTGCAATATCATGAAACGACACCCAATTGTTTGTAGAAAATCGTATACGAACTGCTTTATGAAATCCAACATTTGCTACTCTAACTACTCCAGTAATTGTCATATCAGTAATCACGGCATTTTCTAAACAAACTTTTTCGGCCATAACTCGTTGCATAAAATTTGCTGAAGCTCCCGGTTGACTAAAACACGCCGACAAAAAACGAGTTCCTACCATTTGCCGGTCATTCTCAACGCCGACGCGCAGATCTTTCATCGCTGACGCGGGTATTTTTGGCGGTGCCTCTACGTTCAATATATGCCTTACATCTTCCAAGTCCAAACCCATAGCATCCGCGAAACGTACAGCTTTTTTCCTTCTCGGTGTTCCCGGTGGAGTTTTGTTTGTTTTTAAAGATGATGATTTCCTTAATTCAGCTCGTGAAAAATTAAATTCCGAATCCTCATATACTGGACTATCAGATATCAAATCGTATATAGATTGCCTAGATCCACCGTTTGATCTATCACACAAGTCTATCCGTAATTCTGGATTCGGCTGCATTCCGATGGCGATTTTGTTAACGGCCTTCTCCAGATTGACACTATGACCTTCAGGGGACAAGCCAAGGTCATCATTATTTTCATCCGGACTGAACATTGAATCGGCAGAAGTATTGGCCTTGCTTTCCAGCGTTTCGTTAGCAGAGTCCTCGGCGGAATCGAGGTCATCCGACATGTTCACGTAAATGCCTTCTTCCGATTCCTGGGAATCTCCAGATGATGTCTGTCTGTGATATATTTTACCACTTATTCCACCGGCATTCACTACAGGACCATCCGTGTGAGCCTCTGCCATCCTGATATTTCCCCTGTGGTTGGATTTCTCGTATTTCTCTATCTTTTGATTATACACAAACTTTGAACATACACTAAAATTATCCAACAGACTATCATGTGAATAAGAGAGATTTCTTGGCAGCAGAACACGGGTGTTATTGCCAGCAGTACACCAATCCATATCACACGACTTACACGTATCCCAACTATTCTACTATGTATGTACACAATAATTGCTACACTCGCTTACTAATGATTTTCAGTAACTTGACATTCACTGATAACGAAATCATCTTCCTTTTGTCGTATCCTTATCCAATAAAATTTTGACAACCACCGGTTTTAGACTCTCACAACAACTGGATTGCCAAACGGCTTAGTGAGTTGTTTTTATCCTCTGACATGACCCGACCGGTAACTCAAGGTCGTTTAATAATCGCTTTCTCTAACCATGGACCTTGTAATATTTAAGGGCCCATGCTATAGCCAAGACTTGGCCATCCATTCATAATTTACGGTAAGTATTTTATTCAACTCGGTGTCGTAATTAACTATTTAATAAATATATTTGGGTAAACAAGAACAATTAGGTTTATATGTTGCGACTACTAGAGGATTCCCGTAAATTTATTTGCTCTGGAACATACCATTATACGTAGGTCAAGAATGACGCGGAAGAGATAATGGAATGTGCTGTTCTATTTATGGAAAGAATAGCACGTGGGTCGACCCCACTAACCAGTGCAAGATATGGAATTATATAATTATTGTACCGGTATATCATTTGCTTATTGTTTCATAGAATAGCCTGAACAATTAATTGTTGGCCAGAAATATTTAACGCATTGTAATTGTTGAATTGAATTGACACTGTTTGATCGATACAAAAGTCTATTTATAGGCATGCGCGAGCATGGATATCGTGTGCGAGTCAATAGACCACAATGACGTAGTTGTGTACATGCGTATCGTCCTCGGAGGTTTTCACTATTTCTAGAATTTTCACCGTGTGGAGGTATACAAATTGCGACAAGGCGTATCTGCAGATCTTAATTTCTGTACTTAGAACATGCAATAATTTCATTATTATTTTAAAAATATAATAGAATACGGGGTTCCGGAAATAAAAATACCGAAAATAAATATAAATCAAAAGAAATTAAGAATAATCCGTAAAATTAATCAGAACGAAATTATGTATCTAATTGAGTAATATTCTAGGCTAATGGAATACATGGCAAATTTCTGAGCTCTTTTACTGGACATGCATCATTATAGATATTTATATTTGAAATAAGATGGGTTTAGCTGTAAGCAACATGGAGATAACAAAAAAGAGCGCTGGATTTCGAAACAAACACAATAAGCTACATGTAGTTAATTAAATTAAAATTAAGTTCATTATTCTACTAATCTAATTCAATAGACCTCTACAGTACTAAGTATGATTTTGGGTTGCTGTCTTAGCAAAGTTTCCTCATTGCAGACTGCATATTATATATATGCAGGGTCTTCATTATCCCTGTTGGTGCAGTAATCGATGAATGAAATGAGGTTTAACTTATTTTTCGACACCATACTGTGAACTACACAGGACCTTGTTTTTTGTCCCATCCGAAAAAAATAGAAGTTGTTCCGTGCCAGGTCATCCATCTCTCATCAATGACAAGAAGAGACAATACTGCAAAATTTGGGGTAACTTTCACGGCGAACAGTGGGATCAAACCTTAGACCTCCCAGTTTGTGAGCCAGTACTTTAATCACTTAGCCACTGTAGCTCCCTGGTGCATTTTGGGTGCTTTTCCTAAATCACCATACTTCTAAAAACAAGTCTTACTCGGTTATCAGTTGTCAATTATAGGCTCTCTATTACCCCTAATCTTGCTCTGGTAGCACAGAGAGAGAGAAATGGGGTTTAAGTCCACTCGACACAAACTAGGTCATTTCGGGACTAACATGGTTTTAATTTTTATTTCAATAATTCGCTTGCGCATGGGGGTCTTTAGCAGTGGGAGAAAACCAGAGGACCCGGAGAAAACCCATGAGGTTGGACAGGCGACCCTACTCCTTGTCACGTACGACCGGGGATTCAAAACCACGCCAGTCGACTCAATGACAGACTTTATGATACAGCGCGCGCACGCTAACCATTCAGCCATCCAACCCCCTGCTCTGGTAGCAAACCCACCCATGCCAACCTGGTTAAAAGAATAACTTTGGATTTTTACAGACCTATTGTACATATAGGCTTACAGGCAACAAAACGTACACCCATGGCAGCTAAGTCATCAGAGCAGCCCATAAAGGCTGTCACATTTTTAATTCTTTTTACACAGAAATTCAAGTGATGAAATAAGTTCTTAATTTTACTACTTTGAGAAATTAATAATAAAATAAAACTAGAATTTTCTTAATCATATATTTTCATATTATCTAAATCAATCCATATATAGAACCTTTGAACTTTACCACTATCACAATTTCATATTGTTAATTTCTGTCGTTATTGGTTGGAATTATTTATTATATTATAAACATACATATGTGGTTTAAAATCTGTATTAAAGTAAAAACAAATGATACCTATTACAATGAATACTATATTAAATAATACATCATCTACAGTGCAATCCTTACACGGCATTTAGCCACTGAACATATGATATAAAACACAAATTTATATGGAAAACAATCACTGGGTTTATTTCACACTACGTTTCAACGTTCTCAAGTTGTGTGAAATAAGCCCAGTGATTGTTTTCCATATAAATTTGTGTTTTATATCTACAGTGGAAGCAAATATAAACAACTGAGTTTGGTACAGGTATTTTAGTCTTGAACTTCTTATGGGAATGCTCTATTGCACTTCTATCTTTTGGCTTCAAATTATTTTTAGGCAGTTATTAACATAACAAGCCTATAATCAACTCCCTAGACCACCCGATGGCTGAGATTTTAAAATTGAATGATAAAATGGACAACCGAGGCTAAGTCTAGCTTGTCAAGTACTGTTGCTACAACAATGAATGATCTATAACAACTTCACTCAGAATAAAGTAATTTACAGATATTTAAATGAATTAAGATTATTATACTGTAGATATTTATGGATAGACAAAAACATTCATGTCGTTACATATTCTGGCTTAAAGATCATATGTACAGGTTAATGTACTTGTGGTCTGTCAGATTATTCGTATTTACAATATCTCGTTTTATAGAAACAAAATCCATTCGTAAAACACTAGCTTAAACAGGCATTATGCAAGATATTTGAATGTGCCTTTTGCAGGTCTTTCTTTAGGCTTGAAATGTTAAATAAACATTAATTAACTTACCAAGACCATAATTCACTCTTGATGATGCCATCGGATGGCTGCGATTTAAGTATTTAAATACCTTTTGTGGTTGATGCGGTTACCGTTAGAAGGGATAATCAAGACTTTGTTTATTATCGTAACAACAGTAGTAATGATAATAGAGGCCAGACTATAATTGTATCGCCGATATCTAGGCTCAGATTGATGTAATTTGACATTTTCAGCATATTCACTTTTCAGTATCTATTTTTCATCTATTATAGCAAGAACTGTCAACTCTTTACCTAATCTTACCCAATGCAGCTTTAACTACATGGCATATTCATTTCTTGCTTGGTCTACCCAGGCAACAGATGAAAATTCTTACCCATACCACAGAGAACACATTTTCCTAAGTTTCCGACCCATAGTGTATCCTAAATTTTATGAAAATATATAGAGAATCTCCTACAAGTCTTTATTGATATCAAAAAGGACGAGTAGGAGATTTTATTTATCACCCAATCCTTTCTTACATGCATAAATAAATAAATATACATGTAATTCTTTGCTATAGATTTCACTCTTACTGAACCTGATTACATTAAGGCGTAGTGATACGTCCTTCTTTGACGGCAATTCAACTATTGCAATGTCTTTTATATTGACCCAGTGTTTCCATCAAGGTCAATTAAATAAAAATTGTTAATTTTTAATAACAAAAAGAAGTTATTTTTAATAAAAAAAAAAGTAACTTTTAATAAAAAATGAACTGTTCTTTGAAAATAAAAAAAGTAGTTCCTTTTTAACTGACCAATCAAATTCATGAAATTTATCACACAAGCGATATATCTACTGTAGAATGTATTATTGGGTGATAAAACAGTCTTCATTTCTTTTTTATTTTATATACATACTGCAGTAATGCAAATTTAAATACACACAGAATAACATTCTTTGGGCAAAAATACCAGCTTCTGATCGACAATAAAAAGAAACATTAAAAGAAAAACCAAAAGCTCAGTCAAAAGGACACATAGCCCATAACAAGTACTGGTGTCTAGTATTAAAGGAGATCATCCAACTCCAAACATAGATATTGATGCCAGCTACTCAGATCACTTATTCATATATATACTAGCCAAAGTGTCACATATACCATGTATATATTATAAATTTTTTCACAATAAAGTGTTATTTGGATAAACTAAGTTTGGGGTCAATGGTTCAATAATTACTAAAACAAACTTTATTATATAACAAATCATCCATTCCTTCAAGTTTTCTCTGAGTATTCATCTTATTCCCTGAGATACATACTGGCATTGAACTAGATGCCAAATGAGCAGTAATAACTGTATGTCTCTATGGTTATTCGCTTGTGTTTTAAAGTAGAATTTTGAACAAAATATGTTTAAGAATCAATACATACATTATACTTTTTTCATCACCATAATCCTCATTCTTACATTAGTAACCAACTCGTAGAATATAAGTTTAGATATATGTCAAAAGGATGAGTGACAGATTTCCAATCTGTGACCACATTCCATCATTTATCTAGAAAAGTTCATTATTAGAGTACACAATGAATGCTCACTGTAAAGCGTCATATTCATGTCTGTTAATTTCATTCATTAATCACAATACTCTGTTCTATATTGTTCTATATTTTATCATACACTGTACACATTATTTATCTCCACATCTTTACCGTTCTATAATCAGTTTTCCTTGCCCATATAATTTTCCTACTGTTACCTGAAATATAAACAACAATATCACAGTTTAAATTATTAACAGCCCATGAAAACTGCTTGTGTAATATCACTGACTAAACCCCAGAGGATAGGTTTAGCTTTGAACTGAGTTTGATTCCCCTTCCATTCCTATACAAAACTTTCGCTGTTTGTCTACAATTGACTCCGCTTGAGAACAAACTCCCAAGGTTAGTTGACCAAATTTGAATCCCCCCCGTCTGTGAATTTAGTCGAAAGTACAATTGAAATTTTGAGAAATATTTATTTGGCTGCCGTAATCATATCTAAAGGAATTGAAAATGTTTATTTAATCTTTTTGTGTAGAAATATGTAAAATAGGTCAGAACTGCATATCAAAATAGTACCGGTACACTAATTTTTCAATCTTTTGATCTACCACTTTGGCCACAGAAATAGCACAGATTATCTGTCACTATTATCGGAGTAGTTGGCAGT